CATGCTTAAAGTAAATATGATAAATATAAAAAGCGACGTTAATCTATTCTCCTGTCTGGTTTGCTTGTCAGACAAAAATGGCAGATTCAGCATTATGATTGGCCAGATCACCTGTCAATCAAACTCCCTGCATAGGGTCAATTAATATAGCTACTTAAAGTTGCGTAAAATAACTTCAAACAGCAACTTAAAGGTGTGTTATTTTTTTAATTGCAACAATTATAATGTTTTCAAAAGTTTTTTTATCGCTTAATTATTCATATTCAAATAAAGATTTATGTCTCTATAGGTTGTTTCGATGTAATTTAAATGTAGAAATTTCCCCTTAAATACTTTAAATGCATTCAATGTAATTATGTTAGCTTGTAGCATATAGCAACCCAGAAAATGTAGCCTATGCATAAATATGAGTGAAATTTGTAAACAAGCACATCATCTGGTAAGCATTTTGTGTGTCCGTACAATATAAAAAACATTCTGCCTATCGTGAGTCCCCGTAAACCACATATGCATGTGTGTGTGTGGAGATTGTATGAATATTACTTAGTAGTCCAGGTGATATGTGCAAAATTTGAAGTGATATGTTCACTTTTTCATAAATGCATGAAACTTGGTACAGTTGTACAGGTTAGGGCCCTGAACATTTTCAGAAATGGAGCCATCGCAAAAACACCTCGTGGTTGCCATGGCGACCATTTTACTTTCCGCCATAACCAAATTATGTATTTTGTGTCATATATCCTGAACCAAACATGATAATACAGAAAAGGTGATGTCTACCCCTATGTTATGATGGTCAAGGATTGCAATGATACCATATACAAAAATATAAATTGTTCAGGTGAAGAGTTAATGGTGAAATCAGCAATGTGAGATTTATTCAATAGTACAATAAAAGATTGCATTAATTAATTATTAATTTGTTACATTTATATAGCGCTTTTCTGGGTACTCAAGATGAATGTAGATGAAGATGAATCTCCTCATCCCCCACCAATGTGCAGCATCTACCTGGATGATGCGACGGCAGCCATATTGTGCCAGAACGCCCACCACACACCAGCTTAAATTTATTTTATTTTTCAGATATAAAAAAATATAATCTCAAGTAAGTGTATTTTTCCTTACCTCTCAGGCAGAGTCAGGTAGGCGGTAGTGTGTTTCCAATACATTATTGTTCTCTATCAACAATGCTCTAGCATCAGACGCAGACGGCAATGCAGTCTTGCTAAGCTGCATCCTATCTGCACCTCTTCTGCTGCACATCTGTCATTTTCTGTGGGTCTCTGGAATTGTCAGTCAGCTGTCAACAAACTTCATTCTGGCCATTGCTTCTCAGTGTACTCTTAGTATCTTGGGTTTGACTGAGACCTGGATTCGTCCAGAAGACTCTGCAACCCCTGCTGTTCTCTCTAACAACTTTCCTTTCTCTCATACCCCCCGTCAGGTTGGAAGGGTACTGATCTTCTCGTTTCTAATAATTGGAAATACTCAACCCACTCTTCACTATGCAATAAAATTATTTTGAGTTTCATGCTATTATGGTAACAGATCCTGTTAAACTCCATATTGTAATGATTTATCGCCTTCCTGGTCAACTGGGCACCCTTATAGAGGAGCTGTATGGGCTGCTGTCCTCATTCTCTGTAGATGGCAGTCCACATTTGGGTGGCTCACCAATGTACTAGATTTCTCAAATACAAAAAAATAAGTAGGCTTGACCTAAATTTTTGTGGGGAGAAGAATTTATTGAAGATGGTATTGTAGCAGTTCTTCAATAGCAATGTTAGCATGTCTTCCTTCAAACAATTTTACCCTTGTATGAATCCTAAAATTCTTGTATGAATCTCTTCTCCCAAAGTTTTGTCTGTGGGACATAATTTTATACCTGAAGACAAAAGGGCTAGAAACAATACTGTTAGGACCTTTCCGCTGGAGATCCTGCAATCTACTAGACTTTCCTGAGGAATGCTGTTTTTTTGTTTTTCTAATGGAATGGACCATTTGGTTCACACCTTTATAGACACAGTTACATTATTTCTTTCACAGAATGACCAACTGAACTTTAACCAATCAGGTTTCAGCAGCGGCTATTCAACTGAGACTGCTTTGCTGTCGGTCACTGTAGCTCTGCAGATAGCGAAAGCTGATTCCAAATAATCGGTTCTTATTCTGCTGGATCTATCTGCCACTTTGACACTGTCACTTTTGACACAATCATCAGATTCTCCTGTCCGCCATCACTGGATCTGCACTCCACTGGTTTGAATCTTATCTCACAGGTAGGTGTTTCAGGGTTTCCTGGGGAGGAGAGGTATCCAAAGAACATCGACTGGCCACAGGGTTTCCTCGGGGATCAGTTCTTGGACCCCTCCTCTTCACCATATACACTACATCACTGGGACCCATTATACAAGCACGTGGTTTCTCCTACCACTGCTATGCTGATGACACACAGCTTTATCATTCATTTCAACCAGATGATCCAATAGTAGCTGCATGGATCTCAGGCTGCCTGGCAAACATCTCGGCATGGATGAAGGAACATCACCTGCAGCTCAACCTGGCAAAGACTGAGCTTCTTGTTTTCCCTGCCACTTCGACTCTACAGCATGATTTCATCATCCTGCTAGGTTCATCAAAAAATATTCTCTGGTGACCAGCTGACCTTCAAGGACCATATTGTAAAGACAGCTCGATCATGCAGGTTTGCATTGCACAACATCAAGAGGATCAGGTCCTTCCAAACAGAGCATGCTGCACAAATTCTTGCCCAGGCCCTTGTCATTTCTAGGCTGGACTATTACAATGCTCTTCTAGCTGGACTTCCATCATGCTCAATCAAACCTCGACAAATGTTTCAGAATGCAGCGGCACGACTACTCTTCCATGAGCCCAAAAGGGCCCACTTCACACCTCTTTTTATCCCCCTGCACTGGCTACCGGTTGCAGCTCGCATCAAGTTCAAGACATTGATGTTTGCGTACAGAACAGCCACAGGCTCAGCATCCTCCTACTTGCTCCTCACTCTTACGAATTTACATCCCCTCAAGAAGCCTGAGATCTGTAAGTAAGCAATGCCTTGTGGTAACATCACAGAAAGGCATTTTCATTCACAGTTCCTGGCTGGTGGAATGATCTTCCCACAATCGCAGTAACTACTGGACAGAGTCGAAATAGTCTTGGTTATTGGACCCGCAACCTGTGCGTGCTTGTCACCGTCCGGCCCGCACCCACATCACACCCTACACATAAATATTATTCCACCCGTTACATCAAATATTAGCGATTCACCTGCATGTACCCGCCCGCATGCAGGACTCTGGCTTCCACCTCGTAAACAACATAATAGACAACCCTGGCCCCAGAGAGTGATTGCAAATTTAGTTAACTGTTCACCCTGATTGCGATGCCATCTGCATGTGATGTTAGAGTGTTGTTGAGAGAGAACATGAATGTATTGGAAACACACTACCGCCTACCTGACTGCCTGAGAGGCAAGGAAAAATACACTTACCTGAGATATTTTTTTATGTCTCTGACATATATGATAGTATTCTTGAAAACAATCTTTTAATGTATTATTGAATAAAATATTAGTTAATTATCAAAGAAAGAAAAAATTAATAACCATAATATGGACTTTTGCAAATGCTGTGATACTTTGATGCTTAGATACTGTGATTTCCTTCTCACATTGCTGATTTCACCATTAACTCTTCACCTGAACAGTTTAGGTTTTTTGTATATGGTATCATTGTAATCCTTGACCATCGAAACATAGGGGTAGACATCACCTTTCCTGTATTATCATGTTTGATTCAAGAGCTATGCCACAAAATACATAATTTGGTTATGGCGGAAAGTAAAATGGTCGCCATGGCAACCACGAGGTGTTTTTGCGATGCCTCCATTTCTGAAAATGTTTAGAGCCGCAAACTATACAATGTACCAAGTTTCATGCTTTTATGAAAACGTGAACATTATTTTCACATATCACCTGGACTATAGGTAAATAAGTAACATTCCTAAATAAGTAACAGTTCCAGGAGGAACGAAGTAGAACCTTTTGATAGTTGTGCATTTACAATTTTCTGTCTCTATTCAAGTTAACAAACTTAGACATATATAAAAGTTATATAATGTTATAATATTTGCTATCTTAACGTCTTGATGCCACACATGTGATATCAGGTTAATTAAAAGAGTAGCTTGATTGAAGTTTGAACTGCTTTTAAATATGATTAGCTTGTAGCTTTGAGCTACACTGACTCTCTCTCTAATTCCTGGTAGACACCTGAACATTTCAGGTTAATTTAGGAGAGTGCCTCAGAGGACATGTGTAGATCCAGAGCAGATTAAAGACATGTCTTCAGTTAGCAGGGATCTGCTTCTCTAACCTCTATAACATAACCCACAACTACTTAGCGGAATTGAAACAAGCACTCAAGGCAGCGCATAAGTAAGGCAGAAGTTTGTTCTCTCATCAAATCATCTTCAAAATCTTTCATCATTCATCTTTGTCAGGCACTTGTGCAGGATGCTGAAGTGTTGGGTCCATACAATTTAAATTCAATTCCGGCTTGGGCTTCTTGAGTGTAGTCTTATATAAGAGCACAGCAAACACTCATGCATTCGCCTGTCTGCTTCTACAAACACTCATTTATTTATGCAGCACAGATACATGCATTCATAACTGTTGAAAGGGGACAATCACTTATTAATGTTCACTCATTCACACAGCACGGGCTGAACATATGCATTTGCTTAACATGGTCAGCATATGTACTAATTACTCTTTTAACAAGCACTTTCCTCCAAAGCAGAGTTCTGTTGTTTAGTTCACTTAAACGGGATCAGTCCTCCTGGAGTAGGGCAAGGTTAAGTGTCAAGCATGTCCTTTCTAGAATTGTTCTGTTGTGTGTTCCTGAAGTGCTAGTTGTCAAGAACAATATTGTCTGGGCTTCTTTAGTAACACACAATGTTCCTTCTGACTTTAGAGGCATTCCTGGGAAGAATTGTGGAACTATTATTGTGAAAGCTGAAGAACTTGGAAATTGCAGGGTACTTTGACTTATCTTCTCATCTCTTCTTGTATTTTCTCTTCTCTCCTGGTCTCATCTTACCTCTTCTTGTCTCTTTTTGTCTCTTCACGTTTTGTGTTGTCTCATGTATAGTGTTCCTGTCTCATTTCTTCTAATCTATTTTTTTTTTGTATCATCATGTTTAATTGTCTCATCTGTTTTGTATCTTCTTGTCTCATTTATTCTCTTCATGTCTTGTCTCATGTCTTCTCTTACTGTCTTGTTTCTTCTCATCTAGTATTTCTTTCTTGTCCTCTTTTCTGGTCTCATTTGTCTGGTCTCCTCTAGTCTCATGTATTCTCTTCCCTTCATGTCTTGTCTCATGTCTTCTTTTCCCGTCTTGTTTCTTCTCATTTAATGTTTTTGTCTTGTTTTCTTTTTTTGTTTGTCTTTTCTAATCTTGTCTCATTTATTCTCTTTACATCTACACTTGTCTCATGTCCTCTCTTCATGTCTCATTTCCTCTTATCAAGTCTATTTTTTTTGGTCTGGTTATGCTTGTCTATTAGTGTCTCTTCTTTTTTCTTCTTGCCTTGTCTCATCTCTTATTTCATCTAATATTTTCTTGTTTCATTTCTTGTCTCAATTCACATCATGTCTTCTCTTCCTGTCTCATTTCTTCTCATCTAGTCTTTTTTTATCTCATCTAGTCTCTTCTGGTCTTCTCTTCATGTCTTGCATTGTCTCATGTCTTCTTTTCCTGCCTCATTTCTTCTCATATCTAGTCTTTCTTTTACCTCATCTTCTTTTTTAAGTTTACTTTTCTTCTTGTCTCATTTATTTTGTTCATGTTTGGTGTTGTCTAATGTCTTCTATGCCTGTCTTGTTTCTTCTCATCTAATGTTTTGTCTTGTCTCTTCTTGTCTCATTTATTCTCTTCACATCCTCTCTTCATCTCACTTCTTCTCATCAAGTCTTTTTTTGGTCTGTTTATTCTTGTCTATTAGTGACTCTTCTTTTTTCTTCTTCCTTGTCTCATCTCTTATTTAATCTAGTGTCTTCCTGTTTCATTTAATTTCTCTCTTCCATATTTCTTCTTCTTTAGTTTATTCTCTGCTTGTCTCATTTCATCTTGTCATGTGTGACGTGCTCTTCTTGTCTTCTTATCTCTTTTTGTCTCTTCTGTTCTCCTATTTTCTCTTCGTAAATTTTTACTGCACATCATCATACAATCTGTGCTTGTGTTCTTTTTTAATCAGGAGTCAGTATTGATGCAGTTTTGTGGCAACAAACTGGACAAGAAAGATTTCTTTGGAAAGTCAGACCCTTTCCTGATCTTTTACCGTAGCAATGAAGATGGAACGTAAGTTTTTATTTTTCTTCCTATTTTCCTATTGGACACAGTTCATAAAATACAGACAATAGAATAAGAGATGTGCAATTTCTTTTTATTTACATCAGTACTTATATTTTAAATGTTACATTCAATGTTTTAAGTCTAATAATATGGTCATGTTTGAGACTGAAATTGGATGTCTCATTTAATATCTTGTCTTCGAACCTGGTCTTGGTATTCTATGACACTCTTTGACTCGCAGTAAATGATGCATGTGTGATGTGACCTATTTAAGACCCCTTTCACACTGACTGATTCTCACCTCCCATGTTGTGGTTCCTCCTCTTTGACGTGTCCTGCTTCCCAGATTTACCATCTGTCATAAGACAGAGGTGGTGAAAAACACGTTGGACCCTGTATGGCAGGCCTTTAAGATCCCAGTCAGAGCACTGTGTAATGGGGACTATGACAGGTGGGTTAAATAATTAGACCTCTGAGCTTCAAAGACACTGAACAGGATATTGACATGATGGGAGTGAGAAGTGTATTAGCATTAATTTTTAGTTTATGTTTAGTATAATTCGTTTTTGAAAGAAACTAAGAATTCGAAATAATTTATTTAAGCAAAAATACACTAAAAACAGTAATATTGTGAAATATTATTACAATTTAAATTAACTGTTTTCTATTCAAATTAAAAAGAACAGCATTTTTTTTTAAATATACATATTTTTAAATTCTGACCAATCTCTGAATTTGTTAGATCATTTGCTTTGTTGCACTAAGATGATTAAAAAAAACGAACAAATGATTAAAAAAAATCTTGCTGACCCCAAACTTTAGAGCAGTAGTGTATATGTTTATGTGTCAACCCTCTTACAATTATAACTACCTCTTATTAAAATAATAAATTACTTTAAAAACAGTAATATTGTGAAATATTATTACAATTTAAATTAACTGTTTTCTATTCAAATTAAAAAGAACAGCATTTTTTTTTAAATATACATATTTTTAAATTCTGACCAATCTCTGAATTTGTTAGATCATTTGCTTTGTTGCACTAAGATGATTTAAAAAAAACGAACAAATGATTAAAAAAAATCTTGCTGACCCCAAACTTTAGAGCAGTAATGTATATGTTTATGTGTCAACCCTCTTACAATTATAACTACCTCTTATTAAAATAATAAATTACTTTTTACTTTAAATTACTGAAAAAACAGTCAGAATGACTTAATTTCAGATGAATTCAGCATCTTTTTAATTACTTTACGGTATTGTTTTTATGTTTGCCAGTTGGCAATTATCTTAAAATGTCAACCCTGTTTCAAAGATTTTTAATAAACAATTCATAATAGAAAATTATTATAATAGAAAAGTTTCTGCTAGGGCTTCCCCCTAATAGTCGACTAATCGTTAGTCGACCAGAAGAGACTTGGTTGACCAAAATTGTATTAGTCGCTTAGTCGCAGAAAAAAAAATCCACATTGGCGAAGTCACGCAGATCGTTAACGGCTGGTCTATGGTAATACAGTACATCAGGCAGGACATCCAAACGCTCGCCTATCATTCATCGTCCACAAACATGGCTTATCATCTAAAATATGTAAGTATTAGCAACTTTACATGGCCGCTAATCTAATGTTAACCTAGAGAAATGTGCACTAGTAGTGTGCTGAACAGCAGCTCGCTCACTGCAGGACAGATGGAGGCGCCGGTGCGCTCACTTGCTCTTAAAATACTCCGTAATTTTTGGTCATACAGATAAGAGTAATACATCTTTCAAATCTGTAAAGATTCTACGTTTGTTTGTGTGCACTCGCAATAACAACAAAATACGCTTTTGAAAAATAATGAAAGCAAACATGATGCACTTTCTGCCGTCTCGGTCTCTGTAAACTTGAGTGCGAAACTCCGTGTATCTTTGCCTTACAGACATTAAAAATATATCTATAGAGAGTGAAATGTCTACTTTCAAATGAACCAATTCAAATGGAAAACAAATACTCTTCGATTATGTAATCCATATGGAACATGCATACAGGCACACCCAATACTGCGGAGATGACGAGTCAGTGTCTCCGATTCATCTCTTAAACCGAAACAAAGAAAGCACTTGTTTATCAGTGAATTATTAAAATGTTAATGCAGCCTCCTTACTGTTTTTCCCTGACACATTCATAATCATTACTTCTGCCGGTGTGCTGTGGCAAGCTTTATGCGTGTGCTTGAGCGCTTATTAGGCTATGTAGGCAATTAAAGGTTCATTATAATGATTTAAATGGTTTATTAATAAACGTGCGATTAGTCGACTAATGTTTAAAATGAACGACTACTAGTCGACCAGAAAAACACTTATTCGAGGGTAGCCCTAGTTTCTGCTAATAATAAATAATTTGTAGTGCCGTTACCTTGACCACAAAGCTTAAAATGTCTAATTTAATTGTAAAATTGTCAACCCTGTTTCCAATCTTAAAGCACACACACACACACACACACACATACAAAATATATTAATTCAGCTTGAGATATTGTCTGATAGAATGTTTAAAGGGGTCATCGGATTCCCATTTTCCACAAGTTGATATGATTCTTTAGGGTCTTAATGAAAAGTCTATAACATACTTTGGTTAAAATTTCTCAATGGTAGTGTAAAGCAACATCCTTTTTACCCTGTCAAAAACAGCTCTGTTCACAGCGACTCGTTTCGGTGCATGTCCCTTTAAATGCTAATGAGCTCTGCTGACCCACTCTTCTACTCACAGATACTCACTTCTACTGTAGATGAAGCTGGATCACAAATGATTCGTGCGAACATAGACGCATTTAGGCAGATCGGGGGGCGCATTCCCTTCAAAAGCAAAAGTAATCCACTCAATCTTCAGCAGCTCATATGTCAGGAGTAAATGATGACTGCTATGTTCATTATTACATCAAACAACAAAACACCTCAATCACTTAATCAGAGACATTCTTGTCTTTCCCTGCACCGGCGTTGACACAATGGCGGACTGATGACAGCTCACTCAGGGCGGGTCTAAGGTAAAA